TGATAGACATTTTTACCCTTAAAACTAAATTATTTATTTTATTTATTTTATTTTTTCGGTTCTGAATCGTAAGTAAAGCCAAAGGGAGTTTGTTTTAATTTGCAATCACACGTGTTATATGTTACTCTTTCGAACTTCATTCCCGTTAAAAAGGGGGGAAAAGTATTGATTTCTTAGACTTTCGCCGTCATATTGAAGTTGACAATCCATTACGTTTCAATGGCATTTTGGAGTGTGATTTTATATCTAAGATTATATTTGATTTCTCTCTTTTTGAGGAATGCACACCTTCATTAGAGGACATATATACTAGTAATCTAAAATTACTTTGATTTAACAGCAATTGGTTTTTATATGATTATTATATATAACTAGTATTTTCACTCGTGCGATGCACGGAATAGATTTGATGTAATATATTAAAAATATTTAGATTGATATATAATTATTTAAATTAGAACATCAAATCTTATATAGTGCAATTGAAGATACGGTTTGGATCACTTATGTGTTTTGGTGTTATCATTGCTGGAATTTAAGTAAATAATTGCTCAAATTAATAGCTAATGTGTAGATGTACGCATGCGGTGCTGTAACTTTGGAAATTTTATTTATCATTGTTTAGTATTTTTTTTATATAAATTAGGCAAATGTGCTCGTTCTCTAGCAACTCAGTTATATGAATTAATTTATATCTTAATTCATTTTTATGGAATATATATATATATATATATATATATATATATATATATATATATATATAGCAATTTTGTCATTTAAAAAAAAATATAATTTCAACGATTTTATTTACACATTATTGAAACCTCTTTGTGAACGACATTGGTAGTAGCAACACAATCTTGTCCATCATCGTCTAGAGCTAACACCTTCAATCGATTAGGATGGGTGACTCGTGTGAAAATATATAATTGTAGAATATTAGTTAATTAGCGATCCTTTTTATATTTTAAGTGAATTAGTACTATCAGATTAATTTTCAGCCAATTATTCTTTTTTATTTTTAGTCAATTAGAATATCATATGCAGTGATATTTTTACCTAATTTTCGTTCCATTTTTAATTGATCGATGATGATTTCCAAAACAGGAAAAAGAGGGAAATAGTGTAAAAGGAAAAATTATGATTTCCAAACTCACCAATCCATTGTATTTATAGGTAGAAAATATGAGAATTATAAACTTGTATAGTTTTTCAAAAATGAAAGGTGTAATTATGTAATATTACCAATTAATAAATTTTAATTAATTTCCATTTTACATTTGCTTACCAAATAAGTTTTACTACAAAAATTTAAGCGCGAAAATGAAATAGGAGGATTTTGTTTATATATATATATATATATATATATATATATATATATATATATATATATATATATGATTAAGCCAACTATCATGTAATATGATGGCATTTCAATTACCATTTCAAATAAATGGTCATAAGTCCGAACCTTTGGAGTGAAGCTTAGATTCTTAGGGTTAAAAATGTTTAAGAAAATATAAAAAAATATAACTAATTGTGAAGGCACAACACAACTTTATTTTCTTATACTTACGATTCAGAACCCAAAAAATGAAATAAAATAATATAAAATAATTATTAAATTTATATTATTTTAAAAATAAGAAATAGAATTTATAATAAATAAATAAATTTTGAATTGCAATAAAATAAAAAATTGTTCGAACTGACCCATAATCATCCGTACATATAAACAATAATTTGTTGGAGAAGAAAAAATAAATGAAATATTTAGTTTTAAGGGTAAAAATGTTCACCTAACATAAAATGGAGAAAATATGTCACTTTTAATATAATTGAGGGAGCAAATGTGGATAAACAAATAACTGAAAGGAAAAAAAGTGCTATAATCATATAACTCAGAGGGAAAAAATGTACAATTTTCCCTTAACCAGAAACTTTTAATTCGATTGCTATAGTGTACGGTTCAGTTAGAACCGAATCGTGGTCATCCCTACGTATACTCAATAATTTGTTAGAGAAGAAAAATAAATAAAATATTTACTTTAAGGGTAGAAATGTCAATTTAATATATCAGGGAGGAAAATCGTCCCTTTTAGAATAATTGAGGGGCTAATATGCTAATATGAATAATTCAGGGGAAAAAAGTGCTATAAGTATATAACTTAGGGTGAAAAAGTACCATTTTCTCTTAATTAAATTTTGAATTAAAAAATTATTAATTACATCTCATAAATGAGGTTTGACCAAGGTGGTGCAAATAGCAAAATGTACCACCATTTAACTATTTACACCACCTATTAATTATTAAAAAATTTCACCTTTTTACAATTTCAAGATACTTTATACCAACTTTTAGTCAAAGGGTGGTGCAAATAGCAACACCCTTTTTTATTTAGCTTGTATTGACTTATTTTGTTATATATATTTTAGGGAAAATGACACTTTTTCTCCCTGAGTTGTATACTTATAGCACTTTTTCCCCCTGAATTACTTAGGTAAGCACATTAGCCCCCTCAATTATTCTAAAAGTGGTGGTTTTCCCCCTGATATATTAAATTGACATTTCTACCCTTAAAGTAAACATTTTATTTATTTTACTTCTCCATCAAATTATTGCATATACGTACGGATGACCACGGTTCGGTTCGAACTGAACCTGACACTATAGCAATCGAATTAAAAGTTTTCGGTTATGATTCAGATCTAGAACCCAATATTGGATTTCAATTTATTAAAATTATGAATTAAAAAATTAGATCCCGAACTGTGAACGGGCGGTTCCGGATCCAGTTCGCGATTTTGAACCGGTTTTATTTTAATATTTTATTTTTATTTTAAAATAGTCTGAATTCAACAATAAATGTATTTTATTTTTTCAATTTGGAACATGAACCAGCCGTTCCGGTTCACGATTTTAATAAAATCTAAATATCGAATTTCGATTCTAAATTGTAATTGGAATATTTCGGTTTAGTTGCTATAATGTCTGTTTGGTTTGAATCAAATTATGGTCATAATTTGTTGGAGAAGAAAAATAAATAAAATATTTATTTTAAGGGTAAATATGTCCATTTAACATTTCAGGGGGAAAAACAGCCACTTGAACAATTCAGGGGGGGAAAATGCTATAAGTACATAACTCAGGGGGAAAAAGTGCTATTTTCCCTATATTTTATGTAATTTTTCATCTTGACTTTACTCAATATTTTTAGTGGGATGATTTAATTGATTTATGTAATTTTTCCTTACTAAAATAGAAAAATAGAGTGAAGTGAGTAATTAAATTAAATGGGAAATTGACAATAATATTATGACACCTAAACTAATTATTTTTGAAAGGAGACACCTAAACTAATTAAAAGGAAGAAAAAGGTGGTGTCGTGAGGCTGACTCAATACGACCGGCACATATATATATTCCAAACGAACGGTGCCTAACAATTGGTTTTTGTGGCATATAAGCAAAGGGGATCCACCGCCATTATTATTTGAAGAAGATAGATGATACGACGACGTAGTGTTTGTCTCTTTGAATCCCAGTATTTGCATGGAGACAATTTAGCAGATGAGATGATGAGTGAGGATTAGCACTTAGCAGCTAGCGCCGTCTGATCCAATCATGATGAGATGCGCAAACCAACATTATATTTGGTATGTTTGTGTATATTGGATTGGTTAACACTATGGTCTACCAAATTAAACATATCATATGTTGTGCCAATTCAATTTCACTCATCAATATAATCCATCATACTATACATTATGTGATTCTTTCGAAAAGGCTAAACTCCAACCTTAAGGGCCTCCCACCCTCGACCCAACAGAGCATCTGGAAGGATGTAAATTATGGTAACTCATGTTCCCACATTGCTGCTGATGAGACTCATCCCTGATCATTCTTTCCAACTTTCATCTTTATGCCCAATTGAGCTGTCGTGATTTGTTAGGGTCCTCTAATCACATAATATCGAGGTACCACACTGCCGCTGATGAGACTCGATCCCTGATCATTCTTTCAAACTTTCATCTTTATGACCAATTGAGCTGTCGTGATTTGTTAGGGTCCTCTAATCACATAATATCGAGGTACCACACTGCCGCTGATGAGACTCATCCCTGATCATTCTTTCCAACTTTCATCTTTATGCCCAATTGAGCTGTCGTGATTTGTTAGGGTCCTCTAATCACATAATATCGAGGTACCACACTGCCGCTGATCATTCTTTCCAACTTTCATCTTTATGACCAGTTGAGCTGTCGTGATTTGTTAGGGTTTGATATTTTGAGGATCCTCTAATCACATAATATCGAGGTAATTGTTCGATCAATTTGGCGGGAGCTGTCGTGATTTGTTAGGGTTTGATATTTTGAGGATCCTCTAATCACATAATATCGAGGTAATTGTTCGATCAATTTGGCGGGATATTTTTATCTTGATAATGTATGTATTCTGCATAGTGCATACTGAGAATAGTGAATGCTACAAAACGGCGATCACATGCCATGCCTTGCTTTCAGTTGTGTGCGCAGACGCAGCCAAAATTTCAGTTTGGCCAATGGTCAAATTCATTATATTTTGGAACATTGCTTGCTGCTTTGTCCCTGTAATGTCCAACATTATTTTATAATCTTTAAATCAAATCTCTTTGCCAATTGCAATCACACTATTAACACCCATATATTACATACAATGTACCTTCAGTTCAACCATCTCACTCTAAAAATATAGATCAAACAAACAAAAATAACATTATAAATTCAAACTCGAGGATAATTATAATAAATGATTATAATTAGACAACATAGTCCTGGTTCTTTGTGTTTCAGTAGGTTGAGAAAGTATATGAACAGATACTACAATGTAATAGAGCCAGTAACTTTCAAAAAAAAAAATAATAATAAATGAAGTTGAACAATTTTGATAATGTAACTAAATAAATTTTGCTGAACAAAAGCTTCATGAATATGGGTTTCTCAAAATTACAAGAGGGAGTAAACTAATTATTTCATGTAAATGTCAGTCCTCTAATGTTTTGTTTTTGGTATGTAAGATGGTAATAGACCAAATTTGGTCCCTGCAGACATGAAAAAAGTAACATAATTTGGAAGTATGTTTACATTATTTGCTTCCTCCTTTGCTGTTGTTGCCTCTGGATCTCTATCTAAAAGAACACTAGAAAGAGGGCAATTTTCTTGTATCAAAATACAAATTACAGAGTATAGTTCGCACTAACAAAATTTGATGAAGACAAATTCTGGAGGACGCTGATCCAGTAAGGTCTACATATCTATGTTTCTATGCTGCAAGTAAAGAAATCCCATCATGGGGCCATGAGTCCTTCGATTGTATAGGAAAGCGACTCTGCCCAATCTGACTTGAGCAACAGCGTCTGTAACGTGTGCATTACATCATAATCAGGATCAAGCTTCCGCTGCCAACCCTATCCAAACAAAGGATCGGATATCACTAGTAGAACTCATGACTAGTTAAACGTAATAAGCTCAAAAACCCTGCGATCTTTTTTTCTTCCCCCGTTTCCATATACCAAGACACTGACAAGTGTTGGGTACCCACCCCTCCCAAAAGAATAAAATAAATTTTATTGCCTTCTCCACGTATCCATGGTCGATGAAAAATAGATTAAGAGGCTAATGCTTTTCAATTTGTTAGTGCATCAAAGCACAATAGGGAGAGGAAAGAAAGTACCTCGAGGACTAAAGTTGTCACCATCACAGTGCACACATTCCCATCAATGTTAACTCTATGACGCCTAACTTGCTCAAGTAGACGCTGCATGCACTCAGCTGGATGAATTGAATTGCTTTCATCAGTACCCCAGAAATCAAATGACTCTTTCACTTCCTGTTGAGCAATGCCATTACAACACAAAATAAATACTCTGTACATCCATCAAAAACAATACTGTTTTACTTCTATAATCTTCTACTAAAACAGAGAAATAGAAGTCCATGTAACACACTACCGAACTTGGCTGCCAGAAAGGCCTAGTCAAGTTAAGCTCAAAATCTTTCAAACTAAAATTTTCAGCCGGACACTAAAATTATACACCTGCAGCACCCACAGTACCCAATTGAGACCAGGGTTATCTAGGCGTCGCCTAGGCGACGCCTAGGCGTCCGGTCGGTGAAGACCGAACGCCTAATATGCTCGCCTCGCCTAAGTGTAGAATACAACCCAAAACTCCACAAAACATACATGGGCAGAACCTACACACTAAGGCGAGTTGACCGGTGTAATTTTCAGCCGGAGAGGTCGCCGGAATCTGCCTCACGCGCCAGCACGTGGTGTCGGAGCAGCGGCACAGCGGCGGCGCGTGGTGGCTCTGATGGCGGCGCGGTTCAAGCTCCGGCGTCGTCCTCCTGTTCCGAGCAAAACCTACTCCCTCACTCTGGCATGTTATCAATATATACTAGACTTCTCACCACCTTAGGAAAAACTATTCATCTTCTCAAGACAACTTTAAGTAAATAGGGTTGTGAAAAGGCTGCCCAAGACAAGATATTTTCAATATACAATAAATACTAGACTTTTCACTATTCTAGGAAAAACTATTCATCTACTTGAAGTAAATATGCCAGCAAAAAGGCTGCCCAAGACAAGATATTTTCAATATATATATACTTTTTATTTATTTAATACTCATCGCCTAGTCATCGCCTAGGCGGTCGCCTAGTCGACTAGTCGACTAGGCAGTCGGTGGCATCTCGCCTAGAAAGTCCGCCTTGATAACCTTGATTGAGACTATCCTTTATACAAGTGGTGTTTGGTAAAGCTTACTGGAATAGACTATTGAGATTAGAAATTAAATAATCATTTCTTTACATATTTGGCAAAGATTATGGATTATAGATTGTATAAAGCTTTCTAGCTCATCTAAGCCAATAATCCTCAAGTAACGTAAGGTAGATCTTTGGCTTTTTCTTCTGTCTATTTTTTTTTTTTTTTTGGATAAGAAAATTAGATTATAGATTATTCAGAATCCACAATAATAAAACATTATCATAATCCATAAAATTAAGCTTTACCAAATGGGTACTGGCATATCTTTAGACTCCACAGAGGCAGAGATTACATTTACAAACAAAAGTAACACGACTAAGAAAAGTTATGGATACCATGCAATTTTATGCAGATAAGTTGAAATATGTTTAACTTTATAGATAGACAGGAAGAAAATGGTTATGCCCTCCTACATTGGATTGTAATTCCTCTTCTTTATTCATACTTTTTTCCTTCTGTTTTTGTTTATCCTTGTTCCTAGGGTTCCAACTTCCAACAATAGGAAAAAATCATCATCCACCTTAATAAAAGATTTCAAGTATTAGGTTCACCAATGAAATGGGCTGAGCATATAGTCTCATGTGTTACTCCTCTAACATGTGACAGACACTTTAATAAACACACCAATGTTGAATTGAAGAACTATATGGGCATAAAGGAAGATGAAACAATCAGCAATTTGTTCCTAGACTTGAAAAAACCCAGAGGTGGAAGTAAAAATTTTCCAGATTATAAGCACTTAAAAGTGTCATATTCAACCTTAATGAATGCCTCAGGATTAGGGCAGTTCTGTTTCTTTGATAATTTCAAAGTGCATTCTGCTGCAGTGCGCCCATCTCGTCGAGCAACAGCCTTAAAGAATTCCAGCAGCGATATTCGGTCGCTACTAGAAAGCTCAGCAGTCATGCCTACATCAAGGAAAATAACATGAGGCTTTGATTTGAAGATACGTTTCCGTGAAGACTTGCTCTGGGTTACCCGAACAAGGATATTTCCAGGATGCATGTCAGCATGCACAAAATTGTCCACCTAAAAGAAGGAAGAAATGAACTCTTAGAAGCCAGCAATATGCAATATTCACAACTAGCTAGAACAGTAGAACCATTAGAAATTTTGCACATTTGCCTTTATTTCTTCTAGAAGAATGTTTGCAATAACTTGTGTTTGGTGTAGGAGAGGGAGGTATAGAGAAAATGATTTAGGGACTTAGGGTAATGAAGCAGGATTTAAATGAAACTTTTTCAAAATCAGAACTTTCATATACCATCCTTCACTTTTCAGGCAAGAAAAAATCCACATTTCAAAAATCAATCCCTATAAAAGTTTCCTCCCACCTTTTGTACTTAGTCTATCCAATACTATTCCAGACTCTAGTTACAGTTAAATTTCCTCCTAAGCAAATTAGATGTATATCTTCAGATTAATCATCAAGATGAAGTCACGAAGGAAAGGAAGTACTGGACAAGGCAACAAGTCACTCCAAACATGAAGACACAACAAAACTAACAACATAAAATAAAGAACAAAAAAGATAAAATTACCAGAAGCATCTTGAGAAGTGCATGGGTTCCAATATGAGCAAGTGCACTTTTAATTCGTTCATGCCCCTGAAGCTCATCAACATAGTATGAAACACTTTCCCCTTGCTCAAATGTTTCCACCAATACTGCAGGATGTACTAATGGATATACAGGCTTTGGAAAAGAAACATCCTTCCATCTTCTAAAATTATAAATGAAGCGGCTTAAATGGGCAGCCTCCCTAGCAAGGTCAACTTGAGACATCATAAAAACAGCAAATTGCTGTACACTTTCATCCAATCTTAACCACTTAAGTGTAGGAATGAATTTTGATATCCTTGCAACTACATTGATTATCTCAAAATCTCTTTTTATTGATTCACCAACTCCAGGATGTCTAACCTTCACAGCCACTGCAATGGGCTTGATCTTCCTACCATGGTACCGATGCAAGGAAGCTCGATGAACTTGAGCAATACTTCCAGATGCTACAGGCTTTTCTTCAAAGTCATCAAAGATTTCAGCAATTTTACAACCAAAAGCTCTTTCTATGGTCTTTTTAGTGTAGGCAAAGCTATGTTCAGGGGCATTTGCCTGGAGCTTTGACAGTTCAGTACATAAACTGCTAGAGAAAAGATCTGGTCGCGTAGCTGCCCATTGGCCCCACTTTATAAATGCAGGGCCAGCTCTTTCCAGTGTTTGTCGAACAACCTGAAGCCAGATTTGCATGTAACGAGGTCCAAAAACTTCTACAAATGGAGCCATTACTATACTTGGTGAAAAGAGTACTGCTAAATAAAATGCTCTCAACAGCAGCACAATGCCATAAAATATAGAGCGTATGAATGAGGTAAAGTAAACATGTCCATCTTGAGCATGCATATACAGAGCATTCCTTTGGGAGACAAAATCTGCATCTGGTAGTGCTCGGGCCAGTGCTACATTTCTTCCACATGTTAATGCAAATATACCAGGAAAAGCCACATAAGAGCGGCTCAAAGCCAAGCTAACTACTTGCGCAATTCTATATATAGCAAGAAAAGTCCGTCCTCTAAATAAAGACTGTTGCTGGAACCTCTTCAATGTAAGATGGGCATGATTTGCTATAGTACTCCTCCTGTGAGTGGCCGAATAACTCTGGTGGAAGCTGTTCTGGATTCTGCATGTTGTGAATTTTGCTTGCCCTCTGTTAGGAAACATGTAATGTCCACAATATCTGTACTGAGGTGAACATATCCCGATTCTGATAAACAATCCATATTTTGTCCCTTCTGAACTGATGGCAGTTTGATTTTGTTGTGTGGACTTTGCAATTCTTTTAATATTCCCAATTGCCAAGAATCTACATATAGTCACAAGTTATATTAACAGGTATGAGAATGCTGCAATGTACTGTGAAAAAATCACCTTGCCACCAAGACTACTTGAATTAAATGATGAAATTTTAGTTTTCCTTTCAACAGGATAACAACCACTGGTAGCTCATTGATAAAATCAAATGCCAGCACAAATCAAATCTTAAGAGAAAATAAAAGAATAAGAGATTAACCAAATCTGCAATCACTAGAACACTGTTTAAACTGAGAGATCTTTCAAATATATCCCCCAAAAAAAGTTGTGAGCACATTAAAGCCTTTTATTAGCTAATCTAGTAATCCTCCCAACCGCCAAACCGAATAATGAATTATATTAGAGGAGAATGAAAATTGAATATAATAATAACGAATGTACAAACAAAATCGCAATTGGGAGATGAAATTCAAATATAATTTAGGCAAATCGAAAGGGATTAGAAAGAGCACGAAAGACCTGGACATGTCGGAGATAGGAAATCAAGAAAGCGGTCTGTGTTTGCGGAGACTAACGTTCGGAGGAGGTGTACGGCATCGCCGACGAGCATTTTCCGGTGATGGTGAGTGAGGGATGAGAGCAGACCATGTCATGAATTCGTAGTATTGACTATTGAGGTGGAAGGGGTTTTTTTTTTTTTTTTTTTTTTTTTTTTTTTTCAAGGGTCTTTTGAAAACCTAAACGGGACCGAGCCGGTGACGGAAGCAACGCAGGGTTCGAGCCTACGAAACTAATGGCCCTTTTTGGTAAAATGGCTGTTAGTTGATAGTTGTTTGTTGTTAGCTGATTGTGTTAATTAGAGGGTATAAATAGTTGATAACATTAGCTGATTGTAGAAAAGTGTTTGGTAAATTAGCTATAGCTGTTTAATATAATTTCTTTTCTCAAAAAACTAATTAAAAAAGTTGTTAGGAGTAGCTTTTTAAATTTTAGCCTTTTGGAATTGCAAAAAACTAACTAACCAAACATTTATATTGATATTTTAACTAAATCAAACAATTAATAATGGTTAAATAAGCCAAAATTGACCTATAGACCAATTTTTTACCAAACAGGGTCAATATGACCCTCTTCCTCGAGGCCGGACTCGAGGTTGGGCCATAAGAAAATGTTTATATTTATAATAAAAAAATATTTTTATAAAGTATACACTTATATATATAAGTTAGGGCATCTTCAATAGTGAAGTTTTTTAGGGGTCAAGTAGAGAGAGGAGGGAAAACGAAGAAGAAAAAAAAAAAAAAAAAAAAAAAAAAAAAAAGACAAACAATGATATGACACATAAAACAAAAGAGAAATAAAGTTGTGATGCGCTAGCGGGCGCGTGCATTGCATGATAGTCATTTGACCTGTGCGTGGAATCCACAAAAAAAAAAAAAAAAAAAAAAAAAAACCCTTACACGATGAGCTCTATATTTCTCTCTCATCCACCTCACTCATCTTGCCTCAAAATCTGATCCAAAAAACACTAATGTGGATGGCCTAAGGGCATCCCCAATAGGGAGATTTTACATGGTTTTTGCAGGTGGGGTGTGTATAGGTGGAGGAGATATATGGAAGAGAGAAGAAGTGGGGATGTTGCAAGAGGAGATGTTTTTTCAAAATTTTTCGGTCCAACTAAAACAAAAAGCAGCTCCCTTCCAACGCGTTTGCTTCACTTTGCGCGCCCAGTCGGGCGTGTGTACTACACGGCCCACTGGGCACGTTTAACTACAGATTTTTTTCTTAAAATTTTACTTTTTAGATATTAGTTTTCTTTTTCTTTTTTCCTTCTCCTCTCATCTTTTTTTAATAATCACACCTGCAAAAACTCCTCAAAAACCTCACACTATCGAGGATGTTCTAAGCGCACCAACCACACGAACCACTCCCACCATAGAGTATATGCACACACACTATAGCAAGATTGCACATACGTACCATCATTCACCCTCACAAAGGTTTATAAAGAAAAACTAAAAAAACTAATTGATGGGAAGAAAAATATAGAGAAAAAATCGGAGACACTAAAAGCACAGAGGAAAAAATTTCGGGATTACGAAGACCAAGGATGCACATAGGGCACATAGCACATATAATTTACTTTAGTACCCCTGAAATTTCTGTTAAAAAAAAAAAAGCACTTTCATTTAAAGAAAAGTCGCCAAATAAGAAAAAAAACATTTCCAAAATGAAAAAGAAAAAAAATGTTACCTTCCAAAATTCTAGTACTACGTTATCATCATTATTGCTTGTAATAATTTGATGAAAGAGTCCATATATATCTCAACGTGACTACGCTAGGGTGGGATGGGACGACGATAATTATAGAAAAAATTGTCCTATTAGCCAAATAGCCAACACGAACCTACCTAGAAGCTTCGCTGCGCCCTCCACTCTTTGAGCCGTACGTACTATACGAGTAGTCTACCAGATATGATACCCACAGAAACACTCCCACTCCCCATTAATTAATGTCTCAATTAAGATCATCTCATCTTCTATAAAGAGAAAGGTAGCTAGAGAGATCATATCCTTGTAAGAGGCTAGCCGCCCCTAACTCATCATCATCGATCATATCAAAGAATTGAATTGAAGATGATTAAGGAAGCTGCTGGCACCACCCCCCAGGCCCTCCCTCTTCTGTCTCTCAACCACGTTTCCCTCTTGGTTAAGGATGTGTTTAGTTCGGTTCGTTTCTACGAGGATGTCTTGGGCTTTTGCCTCGTCAAACGCCCTTCCTCCTTCAATTTCCATGGAGCCTGGTCGGTCAGCTTTTTATTTGCTAGCTAGCGAACTACCTCCATCTCCATGCATGCATAACATGCATTCTACCATTTCTGTGTATCTAGTGTTTTATAACACACTATTCTTGTTCTGGGTATTTTTGTTTACTTCAGGTTGTATAACTATGGCATTGGCATACATTTGCTAGAGAGGGAATCCTCGCAGAACTGTGACACTGTCACCGATGAGCCTCGACCAATTAATCCCAAAGATAATCACATTTCCTTTCAGGTAATTAATCACTATATACTGTAATTTTTTATCTGTAAAAAGCGAAATTTTCTGGTCTCTGTGTTCCTAAAATATAGTGAAAGTATAAATTAGGGTGACTTGACAGTCCATTAAATGAGAGAACTAATGGCTGGTGTCTAAAATCATTAGGGTTTACACTTTTTTGACACATTTGAATTGAAAGATGATAATTTAGATTGAACTAATGTTGTTGGTGTTGCCGGAAAAGTAGTGCACGGATGTGGAGGAGGTGAAGAGAAGATTGGAGGAGATGGGAATGAAGTACGCGACGGCGGTGGTGGAGGAGGAGGGTATAACGGTGGACCAAGTGTTCTTCCACGACCCTGATGGCTACATGGTTGAGATCTGCAACTGTGACAACCTACCTATGCTGCCTATCTCCTCCGCCGCCAGCTGCCCTCTCCGGCGACCCGACTTTACCAGCACGGCACCGGCGCAGCCTTCCACCGGCTACGGGAGCTGTGGGTTCATGGAGGCGATGATGATGGAGAGCTTGAGCATGGACATGCTCAACTTCTCATTCTAAGTACTACAAATTAAATTAAATTAAATTAAATTAAATGCAAATCTTGGAATTATATTAAACAAAATGTCCGATCCGGTTTCAATTTTGGTTAAAGTGTTTGTCTACTTAGCTAGACCAGACCACAATTTATCTATACAAATTTGAAATAAATAATAATAATTTTCTTGATTTATTTTCTTTCAATTGTTATCCTTTCTTAATTTTTCAACGTATGACTGTTATTTTTAGTACTTGGAAGGTGGTAACAAACCTTACTATCAAACCAGAGATATAAATTAAAGGTTGTTTGGCAGGTTAATGTATGTGGCTTCTAGGAAGCTTCAGTACGTCGACGCAAACATATGTCCAACACGACAAAAATTGAAAAATACTATTTTTATTTTTATTTTTTTTTATATTTAATATTGGAGAAAATATTAGTTATATTACTTCGAGTGGGAATTGAACTATAGACCATTTGTTTTGCTTATATTATTCGATTTTCATGATTTTATCAAATTTATTTATAGATAAATGGTTTAGACACAATATGACATTGACTTTTATGATTTTATTATTATTAAATTTAATTAGTTTTCTTAAATCATAAAAAATATATGACACCTACTATTAACTATATGCACAAATGATAAAGCCTTAATGTCATCTGATCTCCTATATCAATAGCCAACCTCATTCGAACCCTAATAATAGTACGCAGTACAATAGATTATAGATTATATCATAAAATAATGAAAATCAATGCCAAAATATGGTGAAATTGTTTTTCGATAACTAAATATGGTGAAGTTGTTTATCCATAGTTATATTTTGAACTAGGTCCATGTAGCAAGAGCATTCTCTCTTCTTTTTTTTTTTTTCTTTTTTTTTTTTCCTTATTTTTCTCAACTGAATTTTTTTTTTTTTTAAGAAGCAACATCATGAACCTACTACTAAATAAATGAAAATACATATGATGTATATACGGTCTAGTATTTATATACATTAAGGTTTATGTTTAGGAACATATAAAATAAATATCACAGAATATGAACATAGTCGTACAAGATAATGTTATTAAACATGACACACTGATTGTCGCTTTTTTGAACCAAAGTTTACAATTCAAGATGAAACCTGGTCTACGATATAATTTGCGATACTGCATTTACTCAAGAAAAAGAAAAAAAAAAGTGGTTGTTGGCTTCAATCAATCACTCAAAATCAAAATTTCTATGTGTTTGTTGATATAGACTTTACAATCAACAGTATGGTTGTTGGATTTCACCAACTGGTAACATGTTTAGTTGAGTTACGTTGTTGTAACATTGGACAGTAAATATAATTGTCGAACGATTCTGAAATATTGGTCTTATATTCTTCATTTTTCCATTTACTCCTTATTGCAGTTGGGTTTGACTTGAATTTCTACCATATTTGAACATAATTAATGAAAAGTTGTATTAATTATTGTTTGGACTTGAACCTTGTGATTGTACTAATTGGTATTCTTAATGGATCTTCAGTATGCTGGGCCGTATCATCCTTCCCTTCTTGAAAATGATCCGACCTCGAATATAATATGTAGAATCATACAGGGACAAGTCTGAAACATTGAATGTAGAAGATATATTGTATTCTCCGATCCCCTAAGATCAACTTTATAAGAATTATCTTCGATCCGTGATATCACTTGAAATAGGTCACTATAATACTTTCATATATCAAATAGAATTCTTATTGAACTTTCTTGTTATTTCTTCCACCAATGATGCTTTTACTTTTTATTTGATTCGGTGTGGGCGGATTCCTATCAAGTTGGTTAGCCATTAACCCATTACCGATGAAATAATCTATGAAAATTATACATTATGTTCAAATAAAAAAATTATACGAAGTACTACATAAAATATAATTTTTATGAAAAAGAATACTTAATACTAATAAATTATATTATGTCATTATTATATGCTTTTTAGATAATTAATAATTAATTTATCAAATATATTTGTAGTTAGCGGGTATCCCCTTCTCTATTTGAACTAAAAAAAAAAATATTTGTAGTTTCTAATAAATTATAAACTACGTAGTATATAAGAGTGAATCTTGGTAAAATTTTAATAAGAAGTATTTAAAAAAAAAAAAAAAAAAATCTTTATGTATTTACCATCTATTTAATTTTGAAATCAATTTGAACTTTATAATAAGTCCAATGAAATTTATTTGATTAAAAAAAATTGAAATATAAACTAGAGAGCCTAGACTGAAGTGTGGTCCACGAGATATTGCTCTATATCCCCGAGATGGAGGTGGTCGGGTTGAAAGCCGTCGCAAAACTCCAAAACACGAAAACTTGAAGCATCAATTTTAGCCTAATCCTCATATTTATTTATTTATTCTCTATGAGTCCCTTTTTATTAATTACGAAACTTTAATTCATTAATTTATGAATAATTTATACATGAGAAATATACTACTCCGTAATATTTTTTGCATATTACATAATTCAAAAAAATTATTGAGAAAGAAAAATAACAGATAAAAATATTCATTTAACATATCAAGGTCAAAGACCTTGCGGTCAAGCGGTATGAAGTGACTCTCACAAATGAAAGGTCATGAGTCTTAATAGATGCAATATTGACTCGTGCCCTTCCGTAGGTCATAATGAAAAAATATTAAAAAAAGTAGTATATGTAAAGAGTTCTACTACATGTACTCTCAAATCTTATTCGTTGATGAGACGAGTTTTGATAGGTTATTTTTTTTTATGTGAATCTCAATACAAGTGTCTACATCAAAATTTTAGATATGGAAATACACATAACATTTTTCATATGTAAGACTTGAAAAACACATGGGGAGTTGAGAGCCACAGAATATAAAAGTGGACCCACCCGGAGATATCTAAACTGGTGGCTCACGATGACCCCTTCAGAATTTTCTACTCTTCTGCCTTTATTCTTGTGGCCAAGGGGCATTGCCTGACTAGACTCCATTTCACCATTTTTGTGCCTTTCTTTAACCAACCAATCTATCATCACATCCAAACAAAACACATATCAATTTCTTGGATTTTTTAAATACATAATATAAGTTTAAATTTAGATGCCCCTTCAAATTTTCATTCTCAATATAATCCAATTGATCGAAAATATATTTTAGATTAAACTCATCTTGTAATTTTAAACAGTAAATGATCACAAAGAGATAAATCAAATTATGTTTCTCATAATTGACTGACACTTATTAAGCTAACTGTCTTGATAAATTCGATATAAAATTTGGTACAATAAATATACTGAATTATTTTTATATGTACAAGAATTGAATTATAATATCTAAGAGGTATGCATGTACCGATACAAGAATAAATTGTTAGGGCAGTAATAACAAAAGGAATATAAAATATCTTCTTTAGGAATTGACTAACATGCCCTATTGGAGATTTACACCACAATCTTTTTCATTAGTCCAACACGTCATTTGACTAAAGGTTCCTTGTTTTAGGATGGTTTTGATTGAATAATGTAAATTCATAATCCTCAAAAAAAAAAAAATTAATTGTTATAATCTTAAATTAGATTATACTAAAAATTGAATCCATATAATCTTATAAATTCATACATTCTTTCTTATTTTATCAATGTGGACTCTTAACCAGTCAAGAGAAATTAAATGTGTTGCACAATGCACTAATGGTAGTCCACGTAAGCTCCATTGTCAAATCACGTATCAAAGAGAAGGTTCCACATTCACCAACAACACAACAACACCCACAAAAACATTAGACTAAACAACAAAACAATATCATTGGTATTTATACCCTTCTGGAGTTTGCTGTATTTCCAACTAACATTTTTCCTTGTCTCCTCTCTTCTTCTTCTTCAATTTGATTTTCTTTTAAACCTTCCAGTCGCAGGGCACAAAAACCAGAAGAGAAAACTCAGAAACTTTTGGGTTGGATGATCGGAGAGATGAAGTATGCGGACGCTTTGTGACGTGTGTGAAAGTGCCGCCGCCATTCTGTTCTGCGCCGCCGATGAGGCCGCCCTTTGCCGCGCCTGCGATGATAAGGTTTTCCAGATTTATTTTTATTTTTCTATAAATATTCCTTTATTTTCATAGCTTTTTTTCCCCCCTCTTTTTTGAATATATATTCCATTTAAATATCAGGTACATATGTGTAATAAGCTTGCAAGTAGACATGTAAGAGTTGGGTTAGCTAATCCGCCGATTGTTGTTCCTCGCTGCGATATTTGTGAAAATGCACCTGGTATTTTTCCAGATTTCTACTTTATTTTTTATTTTTTCTCATATTCATCATTATTATCTTATTCTTCTTATTCTTCCTTGAATGGTTAAGCTTTTTTTTACTGTGAGGTGGATGGGAGTTCTCTGTGTCTGCAATGTGATATGATTGTGCATGTTGGGGGCAAAAGAACCCATAGTAGATATCTTCTGATGAGGCAGAGAGTTGAGGTTCGTTGCTTCCTTTCTCTAAATCTAATTAATTAATTAATCATCTTCACTCTTTTTTTCTTTTTCTATGTTGTTATAGTGATGATTAAATTGTATGGGTAATTTTGTGTATAGTTCCCGGGAGATAAAGCTGGGCAGACGGAGGAGCCGCCGCGGCTGACCTCAGATCCCGGCCAACAGAACCACGCCGCCGCCGCCGCTGTTCCGGTTTCAGATAACACTAAAGATGGTCATGCCAAGAGGGAGAATAAAATGATCGATTTGAATATGAAACCAACCAGGATACATGGCCAAAATTCTAATAATCAGGTACTCGGATACCAAATTGAATGATTTTTGTCATTGTTTTTGCTCTGATACCAAATTAAATGACTTCTGTCTTTATTTTTGCTCTGATACCAAATTGAATGATATGTTCTGTTTTAAAACTATTTTTGACAGAAATTGCAGAGCAATTTTTGTTGATTGATGTAGTTTCTTAATTTGATTCAACAGGAATAGCAGAATGCATAGGGCGATTGAAGCGCAAACTCGACCAGAATATACAGGGGCCGGCGAGGCATAACATTGGTGTCTTCTGATTCGATTTCGTTCTATTTTTCTTCTCCCAAATACTGCCTACTGAATCAGTGAATTAAGATTGTGAGGGCTTCGTTCTATTTTTCTGGGTAGCTAGTTAGTAGCATTAGGGAATTTTTCTATAGTAAGATTAGTAGGATTTCACTGTTAATTGCTGTGCTGTGAAGTTTTCCATTTATATATATACATATATAGGTGATATAATGAGTGTATGCCCAATTGTACTTTTGCTAAATCTCTATTCTCTAGTGGAAAGAAATTGAAGAATTTGTTCCGTGAAGAAAGCTAGCTCTGTTTTCTGATATGCAAAATTGTGAGGACATGCCAAAACAATATATAAGGTAAGTTGAACAAACCCACAACAAAATATAGGTTATCAATGAGGTTGTCACCTCAAAACTCCTAGGACCTTTAAGAATTGGTGGGATAATACATATCATCATAAATCACTGGTAATAATGAGCATGCTCTAACGATTTGTTTAACTAGTCAGGACACTTTATGAGTAAAGATGATCATGGTTCAATTCAAATTCGTCGGTTAGAATCAAATAATGTATTGTATAAACCTAATAGGAACTAGAGCTATACAATGGGTTCTTGTTTTGGTTTGCATATTATAGAACGGAACTACACATGTCTTGAATTAATTTTGTTGTATATCACCTTTTCCTTTCATTCTTCCAAAGGCTGAACCCCAACCCTAAAGGCCCCCCACACCCCGATCCAACAGAGCATTTGGGAGAAACACCTTTTCCTTTCATTTACTTACCACAGATAGCTATTCAATAAATTTTTTTTATCATTTAACAATTTAATAAGAATGACTAACATGTAATTTTTTTTTCTCTTGTAAACTATTGTAATTGAATGATGAAATTACATTAAGCTCAATTTATTAATGATGATATATTAACCCCAAAGAAAAAAATAAACTAATTGTAACAAACAAATAAAAATTTAAAAGTATGATTAAATGTGACAATATCATGATAGTTGATACCTACAACATATGTGGACTAATCAAAAGTGGCAAGAAGTGGCTAAAAAGCCAAGTCAGACAGAAGAAAAAATAATTATCGAATATATAGATATGAAACAAATCTAAATACCAATTCCGTTGTAGTCTAGTTGGTTAGGATATTCGGCTCTCACCCGAAAGACCCGGGTTCGATTCCCGGCAACGGAAAGAATTTTTGTTTTTCCTTAAACCCGTTTTAATTGTGGTTTTTGGAATTGGAAGTAGTGGTCCGTTTTTGATTCTGTCCGGTCCGTCAACGATTCAACGTGAAAGCTACTTGTCAACAGTATCCAATGTTATTTCTTATTTGTCTTTAGGCTAGACTCAATGTTTGGAAAATTTAAAATAGCAAAAATGGTATTGTAATTGGTTATTTTGTACTATAAATATATGTGTTTGGATCAGGTCAAAGTGAATTTGGATTTTTTGTAGTGGGACAAAGATATCGATATATTGTAAGTGGCTATTTTGTGGTATAAAATATGCGTGGTCCACCATCGATTTGGGTTAGGTCAAAGTGAATTCGAATTTTTGGTAGTGAGACAAAGAGGTCGATATACTGTACGATCAAAACGAAAAATGACTGAATGAGAAATTGATTCTCAAAGTAGACCCATTTGAGTTGGAAAATGGATGTGGAAAGGCTTAAAAAAACACTTGTCTTCATTGGAAAAAAAAAAGGGATTTGCACCGGTATATATACAAGACTTTTGTACTCTCTCTCATGCACGCAGTTATGGCGTAAGCTCCAAATATAAGGTAAACCTTAGATTGAGTGGTTGACAATCTCTAAAGTGCAATGGAAGTCATCAATCTAAGCCATGGGCCTGGTTGATCTGACTCCGTCCAGATAAGTACTTTCAGTTTATTTATCAATAGTTTATTATTATGTATCTTTAACATGTACGTAATATATTAATTGTAAATACATAATTTGAATCAAGATTTACAATGTCTATGATGAGTAGATGAAGACCATGCTCCACAATATGAAAAAGTTGATATATTATGGAGAATCTTGTAACCTTGGGCCTAAAGGAAGAAAAGCTGATATATTACGGAGGGGAATTGAGAGAATGGAATGAGAAATTAAAAAAAAAAAAAAAACTCATAAACACAAATATAGTCCATAAGAGCATGCAGCTCCAATCCGTTACGAGAAGATGACATTAGGATAATAAAATTTCGCTCGCATGGGTAGCTTAACTGGTCATAGAGGTGAAACTTTGAAATAATGACCAGGGATCGAGCCTCACCAGCGGCAGTGTGGGAGCAATCTCTCAAAGTGAGGGGGGCTCCTTGTGCGCAATGAGCACCGGTCTAGCCTCTATGGTTCATGTTCGGTTGAGTCACCATCATTTACATCCTCCCAATGCTCTGTCGGGCCGGGGTGTGGAGGGCCTCGGCAGTGTGGGAGCAACCTCTCAAAGTGAGGAGGGCTCCTTGTGCGCAGTGAGCACCGATCTAGTCTCTATGGTTCATGTTCGGTTGAGTCACCATGATTTACATCCTCCCAATGCTCTGTCGGGCCGGGGTGTGGAGGGCCTTAGGGTTGGGGTTCAGCCTTTCTTTGGAATAATAAGGATAATAAAATTTCAATTTGCAATTGTATTCAGAACTCACTGTAATTCTTTTATCATTTAAAAATGATTTTTAAAAATAGTTAAAGCCTCCACCAAAAAAAAATATATATATATATTTTTTTTAAAGTAAAAAAAAAAAAAAAAAAAAAGAAGTTAAAGCTGTCAATCGAAAACAAAAGTTTCGACCTCTTTTTCAATTATTTTTAGAATTCGCAAAAATCTTTTTTTCCGTAATTATTTGTAATGCTCCAAAAAACGACAGGAACAAAATTTCAGTGTCACGAGATTCACATCCCACTGTCTACAATACATACTAAATAAATAGCCCCACCACCTCCCCGCAACTTAAAAAAAAAAACAAGTAAAAACGGATTTCTAATACAATCTTACAATTATTTTCAAAAAAAAAAATTAAAAATACAATCTTACAATTAATTCTATTGTGAATGTATTTGACAATTAGTTGATAATTGATAATTAATTTTTATGTCTAACTAATAGTATTAACAGTTTGTAAAAGGATATTTGAGTTAGTTTTTATGTCTCACTTATTTACAATAATGTAAATTTAGTTCTTAAATAGCAAATTAAGTTGAAAATTTTGATCCCAATTATTAACTCAAGAACTAAATTGATTGCTCGAAAAATTTAAGGGTTAAATTAAATTTGAGTTAATACCCAAAATCGTCATCGACAATAGTGATTTTTCTCAATTTCGTCCTAAACGACTTTGGTGACCTAATATTGTCCCAGACTTTTGTGTTTCGCTCAATTTAATCCTCCATTTGTTATTCCGTCAAATTGGTGTTAAATAAAGGGACAATTCAGTAATGTCAATATTGATCTCTCTTTACTTTCAACTTGTGAAGTGCGAAATTCCTCTTTCTTGTACGAATTACACCCAGAATTACTCCCGGACCTGCAAATCAAATTCTATATTCGCAGTTTTAGGAGTAATTCTGGGAGTAATTCGTAAAAAAAAAAAAAAAAGATTTCGCAGTTCACATGTCTATGAGTAAAGAGATGCCAATATTAAAATTACTGAATTGTCTATTTAATTAGCACCAAATGGACAGAATAACAAATGAGAGACTAAATTGAGCAAAAACACAAAAGTCTGGGACTAAATTGAGCGAAACACAAAAGTCTGGGACGATATTAGGTCACCAAAGTCATTTAAGACGAAATTGAGAAAAGTCACTATAGTCGACGACGATTTTGGGTATTAACTCAATTAAATTTATAAAAAAGAAGTATACCTACATGCATACTGACAATTAATGAAGTAGAAGCAACCCATTTCCCGTTATATTAATTGAAGGCAGGCAGGCATATGCCTTGGGTAGTTCCATCTCCATCATGAAATGGATACATCATTACCCACCTTACCTTTAATTTGGTCACCATGCATGTTTTTCGATAAACTTATTGATTCCTACATACCCTGGATCAATTTGTTCCATAAAAAAATATAAATGTAAATATATATATATATATACAATACATTAAAAGGTTAATTCATTAATCATAACCATAAATATTTACAATACAGATCATTAGAATGACAATGCATTCTTTACGGTCAGATATAGAAACAAGTTTCCTAGCAATATTATAAAAAATTTAGATCGCAAACTGGTTTACAAATTTGAAGCTGAAGTTGTTAGATGAACTCGGTGCTTCTTCACAGATCTGGTCAAACATATCCAAACCTGACTCTGGTGGGACCATTTTATCATTCCACGCTTAGAAGAACTCGCCAGAGAGACGAGAGAAAACAAACTAGTCAAAGGAATAAAGGGATAACGTAGAATCAAAAGAACGTTTCCAAAATGCAAGATATCTAATCATTGAGATGAGAGTTCCATGCAATATAATAGAATATAATATAGGTTTTTGTTGATGTAATTGATTGGTTTTGAGGTGAGACACATGCAGTAGCTAGCAAACACCAACAGGCAAGTTGACAGCAAAGTTTTCCAAATATGAAGGATGAGGGTAATAACAACAAAAGACTCTTTACTCTAAAGTTCATTATTATATATGCCTGTCTCATCTGTGGTTATTCTTAAGACACCCAGAATGTTTTCATATATTATGGTGAACATATATAGATTTATCCAAACTTCACCCAGAATTGTTTGTCTTCTTTTTAAATGTTTGTCCATTATATTTAATGGCTTATTGTACGTTCTTTACCATTGGAGGTTAAATACCAATGAGTTGTTTCAACCCCATATATGCATGGGACTTACACAAGGAGTTTTACTATTAAAAATTGGAGATCAATAATACTTATGTTAACAATTAAAGAATTAAAATCATTATTTAGTATTGATGCTATTTTTTCCCAAAGATTTGTAGCTTTTCTTTGGAGTTTTGTTTTTGTTTTTTTTTTTTTAATATTTATTTTTTTAAATTTTGTTTTCCGCTATTGGTCCCACAACTAGGGATTGAAATAGGCTAGGCCGGACCGAGCTTTGAAAAATTAGATTTGAGCCTGCTATGAGAACTTAAGGTCTGGACTATGCCTGAGCTTGTACGTTTTTTTTTTTCCTTCCTAAATTTTTAAAGGTTCAAGCTTGAGCATACAATAGACCGGCAAATTATGCCGTGGAACTATGTTCACCTTGCAAGATGGACACGGTTTCAAAACGGCATCGTTTAGGTGAAAAATAACGCCGTGTCAATTAAAAAAAAAATTGCTTTCTTTCACCGTTAACGACATTTGTCTTCAAGAAGTCTATGTTCATAATTTTTGAATTCCATATTCACAATTATTGAACTCTATATTCACAATTACAGAACTCTATGTTCATAATTTTTGAACTCTAGAAGTCTATATATATTCATAATAGTATAATACTGAGCTCTATGTTCATAATTTCTATGACATTTTTTAACGAAAAATTCTAGTCACTCGTAATTCAAATTTAGGCCAGAGGACTAAATGTGATAAAATTTTAAAAGTCGTAAAATCAAATGTGAATATGATTCAATAGTCGTGAAAAAAAAAAAAAAAAAAAAAAAAAAAAAAAAAAAAAAAAACTCCTTTACTATGGTAAGAAGATAAAATACAGCCATGAGCTGGCCTGCCAGATTCCCCCTATGCTCTGCATGTCTTTCTCGCCCCTCTTCTTCCTCCTCCATTATCTACACCAATTATCTCATCTTTTCCCAAACATTCTCCTCTCAACTTTATATTTCCCAAAATTTGTCTTTCCACTCCCTCCAAACTCCACACTACAGCCATGAACTCTGCAGAGAGATTACACATCTGCATACTATTCTTCTTCTTCCTCTTCTTCCCATTCTCCTCTGTTAACTGCACCAGTTCTAACAGTCTAACTGTGCCCAACAATGGCTACATGGATTGGGTTAAGCACATTGGTTCTAGGAACCATTCTGTGTTCCAGCAAGCAGAGAACAAACTCCAGCCCTGCAAGACCATTAAGGTGAACAAAAACCCAAAACTGGGTGATTTTACTACTGTCCAAGCCGCCATTGATTCAATCCCAACAGTTAATCTCTGTCGGGTCGTTATTTCAGTTGGTCGTGGCACTTACAGGTACATATTGCTCGCACATTGTATGTACTCCATGCTACAACGTAGTACCAGATTTGTTGGGCCCATAAAAGTTGTGTCTTTGTTACTAGTTATAACTTTTAACGTTTAGAGGTTTATCTGGCTCTATTGGAAATGCAGGGAGAAGATTGAGATCCCAGGCACTAAAGGATATATCACTTTGCAAGGAGAGTGTAGAAAAAAGACAATTATTCAGTGGAACGACACAGCTGACCGAATTGGGAAGAATGGTTTGCCTTTGGGCACTTATGGGTCTGCAACTTTTGCTGTCAATTCTCCTTATTTCATAGCCAAAAACATCACCTTCAAGGTCAGTCACACTCATCACCACCATTTTCTAAGCCTTATTTCTTATAATTAATGTTGCATTATCACTACTAGAAATTATGAAATTTCCGACCACCTTTGGTGGTCGGAAATAGCAACAAAGGTTTAAGTGGTCGAAAATTCAATAATTTCCAGTAGTGTATATTTATTTATGTGAGTATGGAGTTTATGGGCGGTGACAGAATAAAGCGCCGACGCCGCCGTCGGGGGCGCTGGGGAAGCAAGCGGTGGCGATGAGAATCTCGGCGGACACGGCGGCGTTCATTAACTGCAAGTTCGTTGGGGCACAAGACACACTTTACGACTACCGAGGAAGACATTACTTCAAGAACTGCTACATTCAAGGGTCCGTGGACTTCATATTTGGGGATGGGCTTTCCTTGTACGAGAATTGCCATTTGCATGCGAAGACCAACACGTATGGTGCGTTGACAGCCCAGAAAAGAGAGAGCTTCTTGGAGGAGACAGGCTTCTCTTTTGTGAACTGCAAAGTCACAGGCTCTGCAGGTGCACTTTACTTGGGCAGGGCCTGGGGGTCTTTCTCTAGGGTGGTGTTTGCCTACACTTATATGGATAAGATCATTACCCCTCCCGGATGGTACAACTGGGGAGATAAGCACAGGGAAATGTATGTATTTGTTCTTCTAAAAAACACAACTTTGATATATTATTCTCTGGGGCGGAAGCCCGTAACACTGCTGGAAATTATGTAATTTCCGACCACCTGAAATGATCTTAAATCAAGTAAAAAGCCTCCGACCACTTTTGGTATCCGGAAAAACCTTTGTTGCTATTTCCCACCACTTTTTGTTTTTCACTTGATTTAAGATCACTTTCAGGTGGGTGAAAATTTCAACAATGTAAAGGGCTTAAAAGGTCAAATCCAACACCCAACTTTTAAAAAATGTGTGGCTATATACAAAAATAAAGTTGCGTCTGACTTAAAGGTAAAGGTAAAGGTAAAGGTTAAGTCCAGTTCTGAACGTTCTAATATATTATATTGTATTTTGGTAGGACGGTGTTCTACGGGCAATTCAAGTGTTCGGGGCCGGGGGCGGGGCACGGAGGAAGGGTGCGGTGGGCGAGAGAGCTGACGGAAGAGGAGGCAAGACCGTTCATCTCTCTTAGCTTCATTGATGGCGATGAATGGGTGAAGAATTTGTGAACATTGGGTACCTGCCACGCCAGGCCTGCAGCTTCGAGAATCATGTGACAACATTCAATTCTTGTTTGTTTTGACATTGTTATTATTCCTGGAATATAAATTTTGTTGTTTTATCTGTATTCTTGTTTTTTTAAAAAAGGTGAAAATGTCATTTATTCTGTTAAGTTTATGGTCCAATATCTTGTTCTCCAGAAGATGCTTAGCTTTTATTTGGGATAAGGGGGAATGACATGGATTGGTCACAATTAAGTGCTTACTATTAAACAAAAAGAAAAATATTATATTGACTCCAATTTTCTACTCTCAATTTTAAAAAATATAGCTTATTTTTAATTTGTTTGTCACCTTAAGAGTAAAATCGATTGAGTATGGTAGAATTTGAAGTATACATATATAGTAGAACTCAAACAAAAAAAAATTATAACTAATAGTAGATACGTCATTTTATATTTGGGTTTAGATATAAATTGTCAGATTAAACGCTTATTACTAGGCCAAAAGTTATAACTAATAACAAATACATAATTTTATTTTCTTATACTTTATAACAATTAATACCACATTTCAATGACAAGATGTTAGACTTCACTTCCAAACCAACCGTCAACAAAATTAGAGTACATAATAGATCCCAACTGTGCATATGGTCATATGGAAAGACTTGGTGAACCCCGTGATTGTCATTAAATTTAAAACAGCATTAACATTCATGACATTCAAAAATAAAAATTTAAAATTCAAACATGTAACTCGATCCTATATCTGACAAATTTAATTAGAACAAATCTGAAGTCACAAAGTTAATTCTTAGATAAATTGGAATTCATCAATCCCTAAAATTGATTAGCTAGGGTAAACTCAATCCATTTCAAGTACGTACGTTACAACATTAAAGGAGATACAACGAGCAACAAAGTTTCAACTTCTTAATAGCAAGGGTTTGCAACCCCTAACTTATAAAATATTTGACCATCAACGCCTACAATCAAAGCGATGGCTTCGTTTGGTTTGAAAGACCTCCTATTGCTATTCAGAGAATTCTTCGTCTGAATTCTTAGGGAGGATGAGTTAGACCTTCTTGGCGAGAATGCTACGGTGAGAGTTGTCTAACGATCTACGGGTTTTCCCCTCTTTTTCCCAAAAAAAACTAAAAAAAATTGGCAAACCCTTAGCTTGTCCATGCTATCAATTTTTAGACAAACATTTGACATTTTTACCCTGGAACCTCTATGTTTACAATTCAAACTCTTTAAAAAGTTAAATTGTATACAACAAAGTCTACAATCCACGACCTACTTAATAAACTTTACCTTTTCTGGGTTAGTTGCCAATTTTTAAATGAACACTAGGCATTTGCACCCCATATGCACGAGAGAGAGAGTTGAAATACACGAAAGGATCTGAAATAAATTTAGAATCCTAATCTTCACCAGGAAATTAAACAAATAAAAAGAGTAATATATATCTGCTCGTGTTTATATATATATATATATATATATATATATCATATATTAGATATTCCAAATCATATACTCATATACATACGAATGCAAATTGTATATAGATTCTTTTATTGTTGTTGTTTCTGCCTAGTTATAACCTACTGCAAGTGTTATATTCTATTCATAAGTAGGGAAAATATGCAGACACTTTATTCCTATTTGGGTGGCTCATTATTCATGCATGCATGCATGAATGGCGCGCTGAGTCGACTCGCTTCAGGTTGGTCAATGGAGCTGACAATTTAACCGGGGAGTTGGAATGACAACGAGTCGGGTTGCTTTCGGGGCGGTGAGCCCGAATACGTCATCCATATCGAGATCACTTGGTTTCATCCCATCGGGCAATTCCCAGGTGAAACAATGGAAGAGATGAGCCACGGCCAACTCAAACGCGTAAAGCCCGAGTTGCATGCCGGGGCAAGAGCGGCGGCCCGACCCGAATGGTATGAACTCGAAGTTGCTCCCTTTGAAATCGGGCATGCCTTCTTTGAGGAACCTGTCGGGCTTAAAACTATCCGGGTCTTCCCAAGAGTTTTTGTCACGTGCGATGGCCCACGCGTTGATGATGGCACGTGACCTCGCCGGAATGTAGTAGCCGTTCACCTCGGTGGCCTCCGCCGTCTCGTGGAGGAGTAGAGGGATGGGTGGGTGGAGCCGGAGAGTCTCCTTGAGACAGCATTTCAAGAATGTGAGCTTTTCCAAGTCACTCTCTTCAACTTTCCGATCAAGCCCGACGGTGTCGGTAAGCTCTTGTTGTAGCCTCTTGAGATTCTCCGGCGTTTTCATCAGCTCCGCCATTGCCCACTCGATTGCCGACGCCACTGTCTCAGTGCCACCAAACATCACATCCTAAGACCAATAACATAAAAAATGTAACCTTAATCAATAACATAACTGTAACATTAATACATTATTAATCATGTCTTATTGGTAGTGGTGAAGATATTGGACCTGGTCCCAAAAAATCCAAACCCAATAAGGAAGCCCGGGCCCAAGACAAGCAAGGAAACCATGTGGTTGTACCCGGCAACGGGTTTCGGGGTGGTTGCACCCGACACCAAGTGCTCGGGTAACAGGGCTTGGCCTTCGTGGTCGGCTCTCGGCAGCATTTAGGAATCCTGAAGCCCGTCTCAAGGTCCGAAACGGGTAGCTTCAGTTCAACCCAAACCCATTGCCTACGTACTTTGGATCTTGACCCGGCCTTACGGCTATCACAGAATTAGCGAGTTAGTTAAGGATTATTATGTATAAAAGGGTATCGTAAAATTACTACATGGATCATGCCTCATTTCTACAAACTTTTTGTAATATTCTAACTCTAATTAATCCAATTTTACTCAATTCTCCATTTGATCCTTATATTTTATGCGAGTTAATTAAGTTGAACCGTTTAGAGTTTGGGTCATTTAGTTCCATTAGATAGATTAAGCCATAGGATGAAGTGATTAACCTTTATTTGGTGAACACAGATTTGTTGTTTTGGGTGGAGAGGGGAGTTGGGGTAGGTAGCTTGAGAGTACGTAGTCGAAGATTGTGACAGTGATAATATGGATAAAAGATTAATTGTGAGCCAACTAATCAGATCAGCCAAATGAAAATGATGAGTATTATCTATAACTAGGTGAGGATAATGATTCAAATGTAATTAATGAGGAGACCACTCACATTAAAAATATAATTAATAAAGATTAAAGATATGATCAAAGTTAGAGTTGGTAAGAATGATCTCAGATAAGTGGGCACTGGACACTTGGGCAGTAAAGAATTTCTGATAAATACATAATAATATAACTTCAGTGTTGGTATAATGAAATTAGTGTTTTTGAAAAATGAAATTAAAAAATAGAGTATATTCAACAATGTATATTATCAAATGAAAATGTAGTATAATTAAAATGATACTGTAGTGTTGTTGTAATGAAACTAGTATGTGTGGAAAATTAAATTAAAATTCAGAGTTATACAAATAACATATATTGTCAAATAAACTTAGAGTATAATTAAAATAATACTCTAATATTACTATAATTAAACTAATGTGTGATAAATGAAACTGAAAAATATAGCAATATTGTCAAATGAAACTGAAGTGTAACTAGAATGATACTTACTTCATGGACCGCACTGCTATAAATAGAGTTAATTCAATCAGAGATCCATTCTTTTTTTGTGGCAATTTCAAATTTAGTCCCAAGACTATTGTTTTTGTATTTTAACATCCTATATTATTATTTTTGGATACTTTTAGCCATTTTCATATTTTTAGTAAGAATATTTTTTTCTTTTCATATTTTTTGTTTTGTTATTTTTCCAATTTCAACTGGTTTAATTAGTTTAGAACTTTAGATAACATCTTATTTTTAGTATTATTTTTCTATGCACTCATCAAATATATAAGAGTACATTTTAATATAAAAATATTACTCCGTATATTATCTCTGGGACAGTTTAACATAATATTTTAATTTTTCTTAAGTTGTGGGGTGTAACGAAATCTTAATCACGAAACTCTATTCGTCATCAGATAATAAAAGCAAATTGGAAAGTAAGCATTACCTGATTTGGTTTAGTTAGCAGCAAAGAATTGAAGGTATTACCAAACTTACCATTATGATACCTTTGATGTTATCTCTGGTGAGTTTAATGGCGTTTTGCAGATCATCTGAATCGTTCACTTTCATTTCGTCGCTGTAGAAAGCTAACAGCTCATCCACCATGTCCGTTTCAGCTCCGTCGCCGGAGACTTCGCCGCCGTGGTTTTTATTCCTCCGTCGTCGTGTCTGTAATATATGATCGTCGATGATCTTATCGATGAAGCCGTCGAGCGCAGCCCTGGCTTTAGCGAGCCGAGGGTTTAAGCCTTGCAGATCAAAGCAGCTCAGGAATGGGAAAAAGTCCGAAACGTTAAAAGCTCCGAACAGTTTCGAGAATTCCTGCAGAATCTTAATGAACTCGTCTTGCCCTTGGCCCGAGCTCGGGCTCGACCCGAAGGCGGCCCGGTAGGTGATGTTTCGGGTAAGCCCGAATATGAGCTCGCCGATGTTCACGGCCGACCCGCAGTTCATGGCCACGGTTCGGACCGTGTTATCGACCTCGTCGCGGACGGAGTCCCACGACTCGGCCCGCCGCCGACTGAAGAGCTTCACCACGCAGAGCTTTCGCATCTGGCGCCAGAACGGCCCGTAGTGGGCGAAGGCCATGTCGGCCCGGTCGTAGCTCAAGTAGCTGATGGCAACGTTGGCTGGGCGGTTGGAAAAGATGTTGTCTTGTGTTTGGAGCACTTGTCGGGCTTCGTCCGGGCCAGACACAACCACCATGTGAAGACTCCCCATCTTCAGGTGTAACAACCCACCATACTGTTCGGCCAACTTGGCTAGGCCACGGTGAGAATAGTGGTCCATCAAGTTCATGTTCCCGATGAGCGGCCACCCTTTCGGCCCCGGAGGATAAGGTTTCCGGCGAAGCCTCGACAGCAAAAACAAGAACAAGAAGGGGATAACAAAGTATATCACCATGTGTTTATGAGCCTCTAAAGCTTCAAGTACATAAATAATATTATGTTTTTCCATATACAAACCTAGTTTGTATTTGTGAGTACGTAGGTTAGGTTACGTTGTTTATAGGGGTGTGGAAAAACATGAAAATGTAGCTCAAAATATTAGTTGCTGGTATGTTTATTATGTGGCCGGGATTCCATCTATTTATAAGCAGTCTTCCATCACTAAAGTTGGTTTGGATAGAGACATCTTCATTTTTTTAAAGTTTATTTTTATATTTTTTTAACATAATAAGGTTGACCAATTGAATTATGAGTATGAATTAAGTTAAAGTGCAACCCAACTTGTCAACTGTGATTGAAAATAATATTATTGGTCAAAAAAATGATCGTTCTTTGTATTTAATATATTTATGTTTCTTTTAATAGTTTTGCTACATAATTCCCTTACAATTATCTCTTAATACTCACCTAGTCACCTGATCTTAAGGTGTCAGCAATTCATACTAGTACTAGCTAGCTAATAAATATAGAAACTTTATTCATTTTAAAGATATAATATCAGTTTTTTTTTTTTGGTTACTTTTTCTTTATATATGTTTGTTAATTAGATGATGGAGATCAGATGATAAGATGGTGTATTTGCTAATATTAACTTTATATATATCACAAAAGTTAGTTTAATAATGAAAGTTTTGATCCTAATTTTTATATTACTCCAGCGCGATGCACGAGAAATAATTATGTTATTATAAATATAAATAAAAAATAGAAAGACTAAAATATTTTAAATTATTTAATATAATAATATTTTTGAGCTTCAATTGGTTAAGTATTTATTATTTTTATAGAATACAAAATTACAATTAAAATTAAAATTAAAATTAAAATTTTGTATGGTTAATATAATCTCTAATTATGTGCATATTCAAATAAACTTATAGAGAGAAATTACATAATTACATTGATTTATTCTTAATTGTATTTCATCTATATTATAATTTTCACAATACGAATAATAACTAAGATAATTACATTTGGAAAGCAAATTTAAATTTTTGTATGTGTAAATTTAAACTCTAATTGAACACATTTTTTATATGATTATATAATATATAACTATTTTATTTTTCAAAAGTATATTTTTTATATGATTATATAATATATAGCTATTTTATTTTTTAAATGTTGTGCTTTTTTTTTTTTTTTGTTTTTCACAATACAAATAATAACTAAGATAATTACATTTGGAAAGCAAATTTCAAATTTTGTATGTGTAAATTTAAACTCTAATTGAACACATTTTTTATATGATTATATAATATATAATATATAGCTATTTTATTTTTCAAAAGTGTATTTTTTATATGATTCTATAATATATAGCTATTTTATTTTTTAAATGTTGTGCTTTTTTTTTTTTTTTAAATTTATAATAAAGGATGTTGTTGCATTAATTGTAACATTAATTATTTCCCAAACCATATAGCTTTATTATATAAAGGATTCCACATAGATCCATGTAATATCTGGGTAGTTTTCTCACCTGAGAAGGTAACTCAGTGGTCCTTCTCCTCTGTTAATTCATCGGCGACTATTCTACAGCCATCGATCACTTTATTGCTGGAAATATTGTCAGAGTAGGCTGGAATGTTGACCGGAATCACAGGTCATTAATTAATCGATTTTTGAATTTCATTGTCCTAAAATACAATGTTGATGGGTTTAATTACTACTTTAAAAAGTTTAAGAGCCTAATTGACTTCTTATGTAAAGCTAGTGATTATTGACTGCATATATAATTATATTGATAGATTGATAGATGCAGATCTAGACTGGAATACTATATATATATATATATATATATATATATATATATATAGTTCATTGAACCTTACACTAGAAGATATCTTCCACTTTTTGAAGACAACGTAACTCAACTCCAAGGATTTGTGATGCAGTTTCCTGGTAGCAGCTGGACTAAATTCAAGATACCATGCATGCAATACAACATTAAACTTGTTAAGATAATAGGATAATTACCTAAAACCTGACTCATATCCGAGACTTAAGAGTATAGTAATTGTAATAGTAAGCATCGATCAACTTAGTATGGGCACAGCACTAATGAAGAAGAATATCACATTTATTAGGAGGCCGTTGTACAATTAAACTCATGCTAAGACAATATTACCATTACATATTTTTATTAGATAGTAGCATTTGAATCTTTATATTAATTATTTCAAGTAATTTCTTTTCTACCAATCAAACAATAGATCAGAATAAAATAAATGTCTTTATTCCTTATTACGGAGTATAAAATTAAATTTCATTTATCATATTTTTTTTTTTTCACGAACAAAAATTATTGTTACGAAATTTTGTTCGAAAATGATATTAGGTGTACTCTAATAAAGTAAAACTCTTACTATGCATATGTCTTTATTTCATTGAAGAAAGGAAAGAGAAGGAATACAAGCACATCTGGTAAGTCAAATACGCTTAAGCACGAAGTTCTTTGATTATCTTATTGTTATATAATTTTTAAGTAGATGGACATTAATATTTTATCCATCATTTCCTGATTAAGAGTTAGTCAAGGGTCAATCACAAAATCGCCTTCCTAGAATGATCTTGCCAACTTCCTAAGCTTGGAAATTAAAGATAATTGTAGTTAAGTGCTGGACTAGAAAGAATCAAATTGATTCTTGATAGGCACTACTGGAAATTATTGAATTTCCGACCACCTGAAAGTGATCTTAAATCAAGTTGAAAGCAAAAAGTGGTCGGAAATAGCAACAAGGATTTTTCCGGATACCAAAAGTGGTAGGAACAAGACTTTCGACTTGATTTAAGATCACTTTCAGGTGGTCGGAAATTTTAGAATTTCCAGTAGTGAGGGAATATACCTCTGTTTCAGTCTCTCCATACGCTTCGTGCTCCTGTTTGGGTCGGGGTCAAACGGTTCGAGTCATGGTCCAAATTGACGGGTCAAGTCCTATGTAAAGGGCATTAGCCCTCATTGTGGGGGGCCTTTTCCTTCTCTTCCACTTTCTCTCTAGAGCATAAAATCCTCTCTACTCTAAACATTCAAGAACAACATTGAATAAAAGAGTTCTTTGATCATATCTTCATATGATTCTCATACTTGCTTGTACATACAGTATACACTGCTATACATACACGGGTCAATTATCCACATCAATTCTTCTTTTAGTTTAGAAAACTTAATTTTGCACTTGACAACTTCTCTCCCAATGAGCTTTAGCAAATTGATGATTTATCACAATTTTTTAGCATTTTCTTCTAAGCAAGGGGTCCTATATTTATAAACGAGGAAGAATGAGCACCAACTTGAATTTGAATATCTTTGTTGTCACTTAGTAAATGGTAGCCATCCAAAAGCTGCCAAAATTATTGAAAATTCTCTACCAAATCCTTTACTTGAGCAATTTTGGTGTCTAAGCACACTTTGATTCAAAAGAACTCTTTCACTTATCACTAATTTGCCTTGAAAGTAAGCTTGTATATGTCATACAAGTGTTACAATATGTCTAACAACTCTTTTTTATTCCTTGTATGAACTCCTTCTAAGCTTAATCTCATTTAGAGTACTTCAACAATAGCTCCCTTTTGTTGCGGTGATAGTAGAGAATGAACTTGGAAGATCCTTTAAAGTATCCTATATTCCTTCTTTAGGATCTTCTTCTGGTAGCTTTATTCCGAATCCTTTCTTTTCAATCGTTTTTCTTCTGATTATATTTAGGCAATTCTTGAGCCAACATCTTTCAGATTTCTTATGAACTAGACAATTTATAAGGAAAATTGAGGGATCCAAAAGCACTATCCATTTTATTTAATATCATCCAAATCTGTAAACAATAATTATATTTCTAACAACTTAGTATACAATAATAATGTATATTGTTTTTCAGTTTTTGTAAAGTTAACAAGTCTTCAACTCACAAAAAATAATATATGTGTTGACTTTCTATTTCAGTGTAATTAACAATCAAATAACTTTATTTATTAAATTTATATTATTAATAATACTATTCTCAATCACTAATTCTTTTCCATATATAGTTATTTTCCTTAGATCTCATTGCCATTTTCATGATTAAATTAAAAAAAAAAAAATTGAAGCAAATATACACGGTTAGGAAATGTACTACAAAAACACACACAAATTAGGCGCGCACCACAAAAAACACACCATTAGGTATGACTAAAAGTATCACACAGTGTTTGGAAATACACTATTAGTGGTGGGGAGTTATATGGTGTATATTTTGGGTGTGTGGTGTATTTTTTACATTTCATTTTTGTGTGTTTCTCATACACTATTGGTGCATATTGTTAACATTGTTGGTGTATTATGAAAACCGCCGCACGGGAGGGTCTCGACGCATTTGAACTTTTTCATCTCTCTATATATATATATATATATGGAGAGAGTGAGAAGGGGAGAGATGATGCATGTCGTGTCTTCCAACTATAAGGATATGTTTTGTAACCTTTTGAAAATTTGTACGTGATCCTAAAAATGTGGCATAGAAAATGAGAATGAGCCAACACCTACATTCCTATTCCACCAAACTTGTACAGGAAATAAAGAAAGAAACAAAAAAATGATCACCGTCAAGCCGCCCTGCCGGTCGGGTATCAAACTGATCGGACTTCATACAAGCTGGACCACATAGATCTGATCTATAATTAGGGTGGTTTTGAAGAATGAGAGCTACTATTAAATTCCTTTCCCCATTTTCACATATTTATCATCTTGCGTATATATATATGACCACACATTGCTGCAGAAATCTGCTTCTTCTTAATTAGTCAAATGTTCATACTAGTAACTGTTGAATTGGGGCAATAATTGATGATATATGATGCCAAATCTATGCTAAAAAAGTTGGAAAATGAACGTATATATATATGCATGCATGGTTTCAGTCAAATGTTCACATTTAATTGCTTATGATTGGGCCTGGCAATAATGATTGATTCAACTTTGCATACTCCATGCTGCTCAATTATGAGCGTTGTAACCTTCATATCAAGAGATACACTCTATGTTATACAATTTAATATGATTTAAAAATGCTCTTGTATATATAATGGTGTAAATTCACATTCCAAACTAATGTGCGCGGGATAACGGTTATTTTAAAGTTCTTTCACCTTAATTTTTAATTTTAATATAATGGGTTTATTTTGAGAATCAATTTCTCATTCACATATTATCAATTTTGAGCGTACAATATATCAATCTCTTTATTTTATTACGAAGAATCCGAATGTACATTGACACAACCCAAATTACAAGTGAACCTCACTAATATTTGTACTACAAAATAGCCCCTTAAAATGTCATTTTATGTTATTTATCCAACAAAACATAACACATAATTCAATTTGTTATAAGAGTTATACTCATAATCCATCTATCATATTATAGTTTTAGGCCGAGGCCGGGGCCGCGGGGGGAGGGGGGGGGGAAGGGGGGTGAGGTTACATCCTTCAATTTTAAAGCATATATAAATGTGCACTGCATAATTTTTAAAACGTAAATATGCAATACATCTATTAGCTTAACTAGTAATTCACCCGCGCGATGCACTGGAAAAAAAATTATGTTATTATAAATATAAATAAAAATAGAAAAACTAAAATATTTTAAATTGTTTAATATAATAATATTTTTGAGCTTCCATTGGTCAAGTATTTATTATTTTTATAGAATACAAAATTAAAATTAAAATTAAAATTAAAATTTTGTATGGTTAATATAATCTCTAATTATGTGCATATTCAAATAAACTTATAGAGAGAATTTACATAATTACATTGCATAATTGTATTTCATCTATATTATAATTTTCACAATACGAATAATAACTAAGATAATTACATTTGGAAAGTAAATTTCAAATTTCATATGAGTAAATTTAAACTCCAATTGAACACATTTTTTATATGATTATATAATATATAGATATTTTATTTTTCAAAAGTACATTTTTATATGATTATATAATATGTAGCTATTTTATTTTTCAAATGTTGTGTTTTTTTTTTAAAAAAAAAAATTATAATAAAGGATGTTGTGGCATTAATTGTAACATTAATTACTTCCCAAACCATATAGCTTTATTATAGTTAAGATTAAACTTTTAGTTGAAACGGAATACATCTTTAAATTTTTAAACCATAAATGTGTAATCCATTAATTTATCAGCTTAATTTTTTTTTGTTTAAACGAAACGAATATATCTTTCAATTTGGTATTGAAAATATACCTTTTTTCACGTATTTCTTTGAACCCATCAAGAAATAATTGACTCACACACATGATGTACTTACATTGATGGAGAATATAATATTCCTTTGCCTAACCAACTTGTGCGTACCACATACATGCTCGGTACTCGACCAGCTTCTGGAGAGGAATTATTCCCGACTATAACCGACGTTAAAGCTGATCGACGACCCGACCTAAGCTGGCGGAACGAGCATAGGTTTCGCAGCCAATAGTCTTCGCCCGCCTGAAGGATCTTCCCCAACCTTCTCCAAGCCTTTTTCCTCTTAGTCGAACCCGTTCGCAGCGGAAATAAGGGCGTCAGGAATCTTAACACACGTGCGCGGAATCTGCAAAGTCCTCGATCCTTCCCTATGCATGGATCACACGTGTCGTCACGCGCATGCTGAGCCACCGACATGTGTACTATTCCCTTCACCTCCTATAAATACCACAATAAATACTAGAAGGAGGGACTTTTAGCATTTTCCATATAACCATTGTCAGCTCGGGACTTTTAACATTTTCCATATACCCATTGTCAGCTCGAGACTTTTAACATTTTCCATATAACCATTGTCAGCTCGGGACTTTATGACCTACTGTCACATTTTTTGAGCTCAGTAACTTAAACCATCAAAATTAAAATGCCACAAGTGGTTCATTGTTATCAATTTCAACTTGAATTTCGACATTAAATGAGATGTTGCCAATTGTATTTATTTCTTTTGCCATTAAAGTCTCGACTAATTAATATATTCATGACTTAATTCTACCTTAAAAATAATAATAATAAATTAGCTATATGGCCTTACAATTTTCAATTTTTATTATTTATATGAAATGAAAGTATGAAACGGACATATAAAGAATGACTTTTAGATGCCATCATATCATAATCATAATGAAACGTGGAGACAACATTGCGGTTTACGATCAAAATCACCTACTATTTCAATTCAATTTCAATATTGGATGCTATAAATGCTGCTGCAATTATCTACCTTTCTTCTTATATTATAGTCAAACTAAATTCCAAAACCTTTTTATCTAACATTATGTTGACGCCAGGTATGGTAGTGGTGCGGGGCAATTATATTTGTACACCATGCTCTATGTTATAATGTGGATCATGAATAATTGTACATTTTTAATATACCGAATATACAATATTTATGCACTAAAAATTTATTATTTAGATACAAATAGATATTAACTTTTTAGATAGTAGAATTGAATATTTGATAGATTAAAATTATGAATTTTTCTAAATTTAAATACCCATCCACAGACCAGGACTATGTGGTTTAATGGTACCCGGATTGGACTTCTATTTGAAAGGTTATGAGTTCACGCCTCAGTGCTTTTTGTGTTTCAGTAGGTTGAGAAAGTATATGAACAGATACTACAATCTATTAGAGCTAGTAGCATTCAAAAAAAATACCCGAGGTGTTATTAGCTCTCTTTGTGTTTTAGTAGGTTGAGAAAGTATATGAACAGATACTACAATCTATTAGAGCTAGTAGCATTCAAAAAAATACCCATCCACAGCCAAGATTGCATGTATTTCCGTGACTCCTTTTGAGAGAAGATCACATGATCGAACCCTGGTGGTGGGGTATTGACTCCCTGAGCTGAGTATAGAACATATATTACATTCTAATAGAGTAAACCTAAAAGAAGATGAAAAGTCTTACGATTCTTGTATTGGAATTTGGAAGTGCTTAGCTTGTTGATATATTTAAAAAATTTAAAAGAAAAATCAATTATAAGATTGAACAAAACCATAAAATGTAACAAATTAAATCAAATAGACGTATGATCAATTTATTAAAATGGACTAACAATTCCGGCCGTTGATTCGATATGAACCTTATTTACAATTGCAAATAGTTAAAATGAAAAATTAATTAATTACTTAAAAAAAAATTACATGATCTCATCAAGCACCATGCTTGGTGTTTCATGATTATTTTTTTGAATTTAATATTATAAAATTTTATGTTAGAGCTTATTTATGAAAATGTGATTGCTAATACTAAATAATTGTGGTGTTAACTTTCTAGTTTGCCAATTTTTTTGATGAATTTTTATTTTAATTTGATTTTTTTGTTTTTTGAAACCATTTTACATTTACTTATAACTTTACTTGTTGAAACATATGTTAAATGTGTTTTGCAGCTCAATTATACTTAAATACTGTTGTGGGAGATTATGCCCGTTGGCCATTTAGCTCCTAACCGGTAACCGGTGAATACAGTTGCAAGTGGCACAAAATAAGAAAAGTAGAAGAAAAGTAGAGACAAGATAAGAGACAAGGAAGTTTTATTAATCTTGCATCCAAAACTCCATCTATACAAGAAGGTATTAGCACATATATATAATGTACAATTGTAACGGAAACCATAAGTGTGGTCATAATCCTCCGACCGTTACAAGTGTTATAAACACTATAATAATGTCCACTTAATATTATTTACAACAAATACATCATAATATAAAAGATCATAAATAAGTCATATTTTGTAGTTTGTTTGATTTATGTGTTTTATAACTGAACTATTTGATGATCTTTAATTTGTTTAAGAGTAAATACACAAAATAGTCTCTTGACTATGTCATAATTCACAAATTAGTTCTCAGCTATCAATTTTGTCAATTAAGTCCCCAACTATTCAATCCTTATTCAATAATTCATAAATAAATTCTTCGCTGAGGACCTTATTGAGTAAAAATTGAATAGTTTAGGACATTATTGAATAAAAATTGAATAGTTGAGAACTAAATTTTCTAAACTTGATATATAGTCGATTACTACTTTGTAAATTATGTATAGTCGAAAGACCATTTTAAATATTTACTCTTTGCTTAATTACTTACCAATTTTTAGCCATATCTTTCTCTTCATTTCTTGTACTTTTCTCCTTTCGTTTTTTTCTTTTTCTTTCTAGCCAAGCTAGCTGAAAATATATCGATCTTCTGTCAGGAAATTTCCCCCTTCAAATATGTTACATCATTTAGCTTCGATAAGAAACCCATTCAATTTCTTAATCAAATTGATTGAAGTGGTTGCCATTTTTGCCTTTGTTCATTTGATTAGGAAACTAATGTATCAATTAAGTGGCTATTATTTCATCTCTTACCTTTAATATGAAAATTGGCATTCAATTAGTTTCCTTTTCGTGTTCTAAATTCTAATCACATGATATAAAATATACGCAATTGCATAAATGTCAAATTAGAAAAAAAAAATAGTAACGTAAAAATGTAATACTCTATACTTTATTTATTTATTTTTTGATGGAGATGAAGGGGTGCACCCTAAGGCCAGGTGAGAAAACTTAATTAGTTTCTCACTCTTATAAGATGGATCTATAGTATATTATTCTGGAGTAAGATAATATACTTTATGAGTTAGAATAATATATTTTATACATGCGTTAGAATAATGTATTTCATTAATTTTTTTATCGTGATCCACGCAATAATAATTGATTACAACATACACTAGGTTGGGACAAGACTACAACACATGCATATATTTTTTCTAGGAAAGTTATAGAGGTACTTCATGAAGTATAGTTCTTACCATGTATATGAATTTTATTGGATAATGAAAAGTGAAGGAATAAAAACAGTTCGTAACTTATTATATTTTTAGATCAATCAAAACATGATACCTCAATAGAGAGTAAAAATAAAGTAAAAAATGAAAAGTAGGTGTAGCATTAATCTTTCTTCCATTCACATGTGTATTTGATGATATGCTAATTAGTACTTAACATGAGTCACCAAATTTTGGCTGCGTGACTTATTGAGAACCACATATGGATGGGACCAATTAATACCCACATTAAAAGTGCCGACTCCAATATTTCCTCCAACTACAAAAATCTCCTTTCTAACAATGTCATTAAAAAAAAAAAAAAAAAAAAAAAAAAAAAAAAAAAAAAAAAAAAAGCTTATTTAGGAACTTATTATTCTAAGTCATTAATAAATCTGTTTGGTAATGTTTTCAAAATAAGTCAGTAGCTTAAAATAAGAGCTTATTTTTAAAAATTATCTTAAGTAGCGTTTCAAAAATAAGCTATGAGCTTTATAACCTTTTTTCATCTTTACCCTTATTATTTTAAATAAATAATACTCCGTATATTTTACTCTTCCCAATAAAAATCTTTTTGGTCTTTTTTCTCTTATCTTATATTTTTATTCATCATCTCCCGCAACTCTTCACCACGCAGCAACTCCTTAAAGTTATAACTCTAATCGTCCGTTCATAAATAAATGACATCCTTTACCCTTACCAATTAATTTTTTTTCTTTTGTTTTAATTTAATATATATCTCATATATATTATAAAAACAAAATTTTTTTTAATATATAAATTAAATATATCTCATATATTTAATAATATAAAAATAATATAATAATCACAATCATTTAAATTTTATAAAAATGTCATTTTTAGTCTTTTTATATTTATTAGCATAATCAGCTAGTTAATCGCTCTTCAGTTTTCAACTTCTAACTTATTGCTTTTCAGCTTTCAACTACCTTTTCAGCTAGATTTGTCAAACTTAGTCTTAATCTGATTTCACAATAGAACTTTTATTTTAAAGACTTTATTCTAACTGATTATGACAACTTCGTTATTAGCTTTTTATTTAACCATTCAGTTAATAGATCCACTATATTATATATTTTAAGTTCACAAAGTCAATAGAAATAACCCTCATTGTGAAATTTTGTTTAATAGTAATATATCTACAATATATGTGTTTAGCTAGACTTATCACTATACATATTATTATATATGTACCCCTCCACCAGGATTATGTGGTCTAATGGTATCTGGGTTAGACTTTTATTTGAAAGATTATGAGTTCGAGCCTCAGTGGAGGTGTTATTGGTTCTTTGTGTTTTAGTAGGTTGAGAAAGTATATGCACAGATACTACAATGTAATAGAACCAGTAGCTTTAAGCAATATAATCGACATAGTACAATTCATTAGATACATCAAACTCAATCGACATAGTACATAGTACAATTCATTAGATACATCAAACTCAATCGACATAGTACAATTCATTAGATACATCAAACTCTCAATAATCCTAATGCATCCATTACAGGTCTATTATTAAAACAATATATTGAATGAAATATGTCAAAATGAATATTATTTAAACTTGAACTCATGGTATATCATGATGTAGTACATCTATCATGATATAATTTAATTTGATCACTGATTTATTGGTAGAATGGCTGTACTAGTCCAGCTAATTTGACATCTATTGTTTAACCAATTATAATTAATTAGTTGAGCTAAGCATATAAACCAGATTCACTTCCAACTTCCAAAAGTTACACATCCCACCTACTGATTATTGAAGATTGACTTGAGTAAGTAAGTATGGGT